TAATTGCCCAGAGGGTAGTTAGGAGTCAACCACATTGCTGTGGGTCTGGAGCCACATGTAGGCCAGACCAGGTAAGGATGGCAGTTTCCTTCCCTAAAGGACATTAGTGAGCCAGATTAGTCTTTTTTCCTGACAATCGACAATGGATTCACGGTCACTATTAGATTCTTAATTCCAGATATTTTATTGAATTCAAATTCCACCATCTGCTATGACGGGATTCAAACCCAGGTCCCCAGAATGTTATCCAGGTCTCTAGATTAACAGTGCAGCGATAATACCACTAGGTTATTGCCTCCCCTTTGAAAATACTCCAAAGAGTACCTGCTGTCACTTTTGGAAAAGTAATCATTCTAATGAAACGCTCTATCAGCTATGTCCATGGCAACTTTTTCCAAGGATCTGAATAGATCTCATTTTAATTCCCAGTATTCCACTGAGCTCTTACAAAGGCACAATAGGTCAAATTCAAAGAGGTGATTAGGAACTCCCTGAGACACACTCCCTTGATATGGGAAGGGCAGAAAACGTATTTCATACAGAGGGTATTTAGATCTGTAGGTCAGTGGGGCACCCCAAATTCAGTCTTCTCTGGAAGATAAGGTATTTCCTCTCTGCCCTCTTGGATCCCAAGATTCTCAAGCTCTGTCACTTTAGAGTAAGATAGAACTTGCCTGTTTTACTAAGAAAATGAACTGAGTTGACTGAAGTAGTCAGAGCAGAGAAACTTTGACAGATAACTGGGAAAAAAAACTCTGCAGTCTAATTTCATTGTCCAAGATTGAATGAAGAAAGAACTGCTATGATTCAATCTTTGGCCTTGCCTGAGTGCACTGATTTCAACAAGGAAGCTATATGAAGGACTAGGCAGATTTGAGGAATCTACAAAAAAAAACAGAAATTGCTGGAGAAACCCAGCACATGTGGCAGCATCTGTGGAAAGAAGAAATAACAAGCGACCCTTGTTAATTTAAAACACAGGCCTGCTGAGTTTCTCCAGCAACTTGTCTTTGTTTGTTTCATATCTCCCGTATCCACAATTGTTTGTTTTATTTGAGGAATCTGCAGGCAGTTTCAGCAGCTCTGGACTAATGAGATTAACAAAAAAGAAACTGTGAAAGTTTCACTTACTGCTCAGATCTGTGGATGTCAGATGAGTGCAGTACCAGGCTCAGTTATGACATCCTCTGTGATTAAATGACTGTTCCGCACTTATTGTCTCTGTTTATACATGAAGAACAGACATGTGGCCCAGATTGAAGGCAGTCATTGGATTGTTTTGTTTAAATGACGTTGCAATAATGCTTCTAATGGTGTTATTTTATTTTGTTACAGCCAGGCTACTGGGGTCTTGGAAACACTATCCATGGTTGTTCCCCTTGTGACTGTGACATTGGAGGGGCCTATGATAATTTGTAAGTATATTTGTAAGTGATATTACTGGCCTTAAAGGAACAGACCAGGGTAAAAATACAATACATTAACAGCAGTATAGTCGTATGTATGTTATACAGTGTGGCACTCACATGATTATAAACCATTCCAATAATGAGTTTACTATGTGCCACTTCATAGGAAATCCGTCAGTATGAAAATAAATTTAAACCTATGGAGGTTAACTATTGTCAGCCTCCTGAGTATCAGTGAAAAAATACAATCCCTTGTTATTCTAAGTGGAAGGTAATGTTTCTAACATAATCGCTACCGATGGCGAGAATTTTCAAACACTTGCACTTACCTGTTTTTGACTTCTTTAACCCCAGCTGTTGGAGATTAATAATAACCATTAATTGATTTAATTTTGCTTTCTAACTGAAAAACACAATAGATTTTTTTTTCAGGAATTACAATTACATTTGCAAAGTCATGTCTGTCTCGTGGAAAACTGGTTGGTGAATTTGAACCGATACAAACAGAACTTCATAAAGACCAACCACATGCTGAGGAAATATGCCACATGCTGTAGTCACGTGGGATCATTGGCCTCCTGTCCGCAACAGTGAACTAAGAGTGTATTTTCCATACTTTGCAGTTGTTCCTTCCATGACGGACAGTGTCGGTGTCTACCCAACATTATCAGGCGCCAGTGTAATGAACCAGCTCCAGGTTACTTCTTTGCTCCTTTGGATTACTATTTATATGAAGCTGAATTTGCAAAACAGCTGGGGAATAGCGGTTCTTTGGTTGGTATCTCTAAAACCTTTTCTTTCATTTTAACTTTTCAGTTAAGGTTTTTGCCTGCACAAGTATGACATTTAATGCATAACCACACTTACTCAAATACTTTTACTCACAACTAAATATTCAGGAATTAACTAATAAAGTTACTGGCTGAATATAACGCATGTTTAATCAGCCCTGAACCAGAGACAAATTAGTCCCTTGGCCTCCATTAAAATGAATAAAACTGCCCTGAGCTGCAAGCAATTCTTCTCTGTCAAGATCATCATTAACATCTGTGGCCAACAGAAAATCTGATATATTCTTAATCCTTTTAAAATTAAACGTGTTGTAAACCAAGAGATATGAGTGTATTTTTCTGGTTTGTATATGAACACAGAAGCCTACCCAGGGGTATATTATAGGATTGCTTCTCATGTAATTCTGCGAGCTTAGTAATGTAAACCAATCTGTACTTCATGATTGGAAATAAAATATTACTTGTGCCTATCTCATGCAGCATGACAATCCTATCTTTAGCATATTACATAACTGTGACATTATAAGTGTAAAAACATCATTTTGAGTCACTAGCCGTCCATAGGATCTTCAATTATAGATAAAATAGATCACAATCCATCTTCTACCAGCCTGATAGACACACGGTATGATGATACTGTAGTTATTGATAGATCATAGCAATCAGTCTCTGTCAATTAGTAGGCACCAGATGCAGACATGACAGAAAGAGAACCCTAATGTTGGAGGGTTTCAGGAAACAGAGGTGCAAACCTACTCCTCCCAAGAATAGCATGTCTTAAATTCGTTACTTATTTTATTTATTCTTTCATGGATGTGGGAATTGCTGGCAAGCCCAGTGATTGTTGACCATCTTGAATTGGCCTTGAACAGAGTGGCTTGCTGAGCCATTTCAGAAGGCACAAAAAAGTCAACCACATTGCTGTGGATCTGGAGTCTCATATTGGCCAGACCAAGTAGGGGGCTGCAGATACATTCTCTAAAGGACATAAGTGAACCAGATGGTGTTTTTTAATGACAATCATTGATTGTTTTTAATTCAATATCACTGAAACTAGCTACAAATTCAAGATTTTTCAAAAAATAATAGAACTTAAATTCCATTAGATGCCATTGTGGGATTTGAACTGTTGTCCTCAGAACATTAACCCGTGCCTTTGTATTACTAATCTAACGACAAAGTCAGAACTCACACAACACCAGGTTTTAGGAGCACCTGATGAAGGAATAACGCTTTGAAAGCTTGTGATTCCAAATAAAGGTGTTGGACAATAACCTGGTGCTGTGTGACTTCTGACTTTGTCCACCCCAGTCCAACCCCGGCATCTCCACATCATAATCTAATGACATTATCACAATGCCACCATCTAAGCAGATCCCGGATCCCAAAGTATAACAAAAAGCATCACTGATGTAAACGTTCAAATATAATACCTTATAAATAACTTGATGATATAGTTATAATTGACTTGCATCAACCAAACCTCATGTTTTTCTTGTTATCCATGCCTTAAGATGGCACGGTGGCTCAGTGGTTAGCACTGCTGCCTCACAGCGCCAGGGACCTGGGTTCCACTCCAGCCTTGGGTGACTGTCTGTGTGGGGTTTGCACATTTCCCCATGTCTGCGTGGGTTTCCTCCAGGCGCTCCAGTTTCCTCCGACAGTCCAAAGATGTGCAGGTTAGGTGGATTGGCCATGCTAAATTGCTCATGGTGTTCAGGGATGTGTAGATTAGGTGGGTTACAGGGGGACAGGTGCAGGTGGGATTCTCTGAGGGTCAGTGTGGACTTGTTGGGCTGAAGGGCCTGTTTCCACACTGTAGGGATTCTATGATAAAATTTGCTTCATAGATGTATAAATATTACATTGAGGATCCTGCTCGAAAGACGATATTCTTTAGTTTCTTCAATAATGAAATGAGTTATTTTTCTCAGGTAAGACCAACATCTCTTCCACCATGTGATGAGTATTTACGAAGACAAGGCTATAATTTTCGAGTGGAGCATGGTAGATTGATACTTCACAGGATTACTAAACGTCATATGCGACATCAGAGGAAGAGGGTATGCAAAATTTCTAAAGTGAAATTTCCTCAATGTTGCGAACTTCGTAACCACCAAACATAAAACAATTTGTGAAATGTCCCTCTTTGGTGCTTAAATAGGTAGAAGAGAGAATTGGATTGACTGACCAGTCCAATATTTGTCACTCGCCAGACAATCTACATGTAAATTAATAATGTCACAATTATCAATTAAGCAAGCTATTTAGCTACAACAGTATAGCTCAAATAGTTTACCAAAATTAAGTTTGAGCTGTTGCCATAAAGCACAACAGATGTTTATTATTCTTCATAATATGGATTCTACAGCGTTTGAGGTTATTTTTAATATGCATTCTGTTTCTTTCTACAATTCAATAGAAGCAAGGTTATGAAGATTAATGAGCCTCCTCATTATTAATGCTAGTAACTGTAGAATGATATTATATGATGCTATGTGAGGACTATTTTACAACTTCGTGCTTCCAGGAATCATACATTTAAATTTTAAAAACCAGAAACTTGCACAGCGTGCACATCAGAATTTCTGAAAGTCAGAAATCTACTCCTAAACATCGCTACCCTCTTGATTCTCTTCCTCTTATCCCATTCTCAGTGTTTCTTTACTCTTCATTGTAAAGATATCAGGCTCAATATTAACTCTTTCTAAGTGAATGGGTTATGAGTAGGTTAACACAGATCCACCTACATGTGAGGAATGTTACACAGGTGCAAACTGTATGTGTGGCTCAGAATGTACTCTTTAAGGAACGTCAGTATTTAGTGAGACAATGTGGATTTCTCCTTAGTATTTAAGATAAAGGCCTTGTGGATAATTGTTCTATATGTTAGAGGGGCATGCTTTGTTAAGTCTAATCCCATGAGATTCTCTTTTAGGGAAACTATGGAACAAGTAAAATAACACAAGGCTGATGTTTAAATTTTCTGAAGAAGGGTCTAGACCTGAAACGTCAGCTTTCTGCTCCTCTGATGCTGCTTGGCCTGCTGTGTTCATTCAGCTCTACATCTTGTTGTCTCACAAGGTTGATGTTGTCATCTTTCCCTTCTTTAGCAAGTCATGAATCCAGAATCCCAGGTACAGATTGTTTCCAGAGAACCTGCTCCTGGTAGACCTACAACTTGGACGGGTCTGGGGTTTGCTCGTGTTCCACGTGGAACAGGACTGCGATTCACTGTTGACAACATTCCATACCCAATGGATTTCACAGCAGCTATTCGCTATGAGTTAGAGGTATTCAAAGTGCTGCATGCTACAGTTTTCACCCTGACTACACATCCAGTATTTAAGTACTGTTCGTACATTTCTCTTGCACTCAAGAAAAGAGATACACAAAAAAAGTTCTCTAAAATTCAATACATCTCAAATCTCCAAGCTTTCTCTTTCCTCCTCCTCCCTCCTTCTCTTTCTGTTTTAACATTTGACATTATTTACTTTACTGCAGTCAGTACTTCTCCCAGTATCTGTTGGGACTTTCTTCTTTTCCTTTTCTGATGCTGCAAAAACACCATTTGACAGAAGTTTCCATGAACCATGGAAGGTTTCAGGACAGCAGAAAGTAAGTTGGCATATCATGCAACAAACATAGAATCATAGTGGCTCATAAAGCAAAATACCAGTGTACAAGCTCTTCCTTCATCCTTTACATTAATAAGTTGAGTTCAATTCAGTATATAGATCGTTTTGTTTTTCTTTCCCTTTTCATTGATTGATTCCCAATCTGTCAAAACCGTGTACATCCTTACTCTGTTCAGTCTTTTCCCCTCTCATAATCTTCATGCTTTGAAAACCTCAGCTTGATGTTATCTAATTATGATTTTACTTCTTCCTTCAACTTCCCATGGATGTCAGCACTTCACTGAGGTTTCTCACATTATAAACAAAATCAAAATTATCAATTATTTGTAAAATAGATGACTGTATGTTTCCATTTCACCGATACAGTCAACAGATGATTGGATGGCCAGTGTCCACGTTCGGCCAACAAAGCAGCCAAGTGATGGCCAGTGCCGCAGTAACCTGCCCTCACAGGAACCTTACACAGTTACCTTGCCAGCTACCAGCAGGTGAGAGCAGACAGCACATAACTTGGCTGTTCTTTCAAAATTACATTGCATATTTTTGTTAAGTATTAATGCTTCTTACATTGCATCATATGAAAATGGAGTATTTTTGTAAACTATTGTAAGCTATTGGAGCAGCTATTTTAACTTGGAATTCCCTCCTTAGTGGTATTACGAGTATATCTACAACAAAAGAACTTCAGTAGTTCAAGAAAACAGCTCACCACCTTCACAAGGTGGTTGACCCTGCCCACATTCTATGCATGAATTTAAGAAAACTTAAAAGGCCTCAGACAAAGATTTGGAAAGTCATTATCATTGATGAGATTAAACAGGATAGTGAATTGTGATGTTCTCCAGATTGTTGTCATTCCAGATTGGATACCCCAAACCTTTAAACTCATTTTAACCTCCTGGGTGAGGAGGGATGAACTAGCTCCCCCAATTTATTCACTCACCCCTCAGTTGGCCACAAAAAGTTTAATTTAAAAATAAGTCCTTTGAGGACACCTTTTTCCCAAACGCAAATGAACTTCTGTTTTAAAAGCAGACAATTTAACCAGGCTTTCTTGAATTAACAAAAAGCATAAGGGTGAGTTTATCAATGACTACTAATAGACCACAGAACCATAGGAAATAGAAATAGGAGTGAGCCATTTGGCCCCTCAAGCCTCCTTCGTCATTCATCATGGCTAATCCAACATTCCTCACATTCACTTTCCTGCCCTTTCCCCATAACCCTCGATTCCCCTACTGGTCAAGAATCTATCTATCTCAGCCTTAAATATACACAAGGACTCTGCCCCTACAGCTCTCTGTGGTAAGGAGATCCAAAGACTGTCAACCCTCTGAGAGAAGAAATTTCTCATCTCAATCTGAAATTGTGAGGCATTATTCTGAGATTCTGCCCTCTTCTCCTATACTCTCCCATAAGGGGAAACATCCTCTCAGCACTTACGCTGTCAAGCCCCTTAAGAATCCCATTTGTTTCAGTGAGATCACCTCTCATTCTTCTAAATTCCAGTGAGTAATGTCCCAACTTGTTTTTGCCATACCAGGAATCATCCTAGTTAAACTTCTCTGAATTGCCTCCAATGAAATAACATCTTTTCTCAAATAAGGAATCAAAACTGCTTACAGTACTCTAGATGTGGTCTCGGTAGCACATTGTACAGTTGCTAGAGTAGTCCGTACTCTATGCTCTAACCCCATAGATACATGGTAAATATTCGATTAGCCTTTCTGATTATCTACTGCACCTAATGCAATACACATACATGCAGATCAGAAATAAGATGAGTCCAGAAAGATAAACATTAAAATAAATGTCATATGGATCTGTCTCTAAATTGTTCGCAAAGAGTTGATAATTAAACATTGCAGCCAATACTATAGAGGTCACCAGTGGCATTAAGATTAGAAATTGAACAGTTGGCTTCACAGTGGTTGAGGATGGTTGAGATTCCGAAGCTCTGAGTCATTTCCACTGTGATTGAATTCCAGAATTTCAGGTGAGAGGTGTTCATGTTTCCTTTTGTCTGGTTTGCAGCATTCAGATTTCGAGAGAGAGGGTGTCTCCCTTTATCTCCAACATAGAGGTAACTGGTCGATAGTTCTTTGACTGTGACATTCACAGTGCACTAAGGTTAAAAACCAGGCTGGTTCACATGAGAACATTCAATCCCACTAGGACACTCCAGTACAATTGAAACTGGCATTGTAAGCACTGTCCTGTGTATTCTTCAAAGGGTAAAGCACATTGGCTGAATCTTTCCAGAAATCATCCAATTGTCTTTTCTGGCAAGTTGCTTATAGGGTTTCTCTCTACAAGGTATAGAGAGTTTCCGTGCACTATTTCCCAAACTCCCCTCATTGATGTTGGTGTGTTCACCAAGCTGGGAGGTTTGATAGCAGATGTTTCGTCCTCTTGCTAGGTGACATCCTCAGTGCTGTGGAGGCTCCTGTAAAGCGCTGTTGTCTTGTGCCGGTTCAAATTTATATATGGTCTGATTTTTGCTGCTTCTGGTAGGTGCCTATTCCGGCTGTGCATTGTAATGGTCAGTATATCAGGTCTAATTCACTGTGTTTGTTGATGGAGTGCCAAGCCTCCAAGAATTCCCTGGCTGTCCTCTGTTTGGCTTGTCTTATGATAGTAGTGTTGTACCAGTTGAAAGTGTGTTTTTTCTCATCTGTGTATTGAAACCAAGGACATCTGGTCATGTCGTTTAGTTGCTAGCTGGTATTCCTAGATGCAGGTTGCTAGCTGTCTGCCTGTTTTGTGCAGTCTCCACACGGACAAACTACATTTGTCCTCTCCATGGTCTCTATTGGGTCTTTAATCCTTGTTGTCATCGTGTGGCTGCCGGTTTGTGTGCTGTCGTGATTCCTAGCGGTCTGAGCAGTCTGGTTGTCAGTTCTGAGGTGTTTTTTATAAATGGTATGGTGGTTATTGTTTCGGGTTTTGGTGCATCCTAGTTGTGTTGTATGTGACATTTGTGGATGAAGCTGTGGGGATATCCATTCCTGGTAAAGACCTTGTAGAGGTGTTCTTCTTCTTCCTTCTGCAGTTCGATTGTGCTGCAGTGTATAGCGGCCCTTTTGTACAGGGTCTTAATGCGGCTCCTCTTGTGTGAGTTGGGGTGATTGCTGTGATAGTTTAAGACCTGGTCAGTATGTGTGAATTTCCTGTATACTTCTGTAGTGAAGTCACCGTTCTCTTTTCTTTCCACCATCACGTCCAGGAATGGGAGTTTGTTGTTGTTTTACTCCTCTCTTGTAAATTTGATCCCTGTGAGTATGGTGTTAATGAGTCGGTGGGTGTTCTCAATTTCTGTTCTTTTCGTAATTACAAAAGTGTCGTCCACGTATCTGATCCAGAGCTCGGGTTGGGTCTACAACCAGCACCCGAGCTACAAATCTTCATTCAAACTCTGACCAAACTCCCCTCATTACCTATGTACCATGCTCCTATGGCACCCTACTTGTAGTATATTCCTACCCACCAAAGACGAAAGTTCTCACCACTCTCTGGACTCCTCAGGGTTCCTGTTACCAGGACCATACGTAAAAGGCAGTTGTACACCAGGTAAGCTCTCCCAATGCAAAGCTGATTGCATGGTTCATTTGTTTGCCACTGACATGGAAAAACAGGTGGAAAATTGATGCCATGCTTTGCAGAAGGGACCTGACGTCCTTGTGAATCAGATGGGGTGGAGGAGGGCCATCTTCTTATCCCAGGACTAGCAGAGAAGACCAAGGACCAGGCCCACTCCTGTGGAGATGCTGAAACTTCCATGTCCCAGCAACCAAATAAGAAGAATTGTCCATTGTTGTGCTACTCTCCCATCATGCCCACTATAAATGTGTTCTCAACATACTCAAACTTTTGCCCCTTGTTCGTGATGTGGTTAACAGTGCTTAGAACCAGGGTTTGCATTCCACACGATGGGTTAATGCCTAAGCTTCACATACAGCACATAGTGTTCACAGATATATTTTACTTGTACTGTACGGGAGTCTAAGTAATGCTCTTTCCCTTTGAGAGCTTCACAGAACTCAAAAGTGAAGTCAACTTCACAGAATGAAATACTTAGCCCGTCTACGCTGTGTGAGATGGCAGCCATTTCATTTCTATTTCTCACTTACTATTTGTATCACAATTGAAGGAAACAGCAGTCACCTTGAACCTTAGGCTCAGCCCTTGGTGAGCCCCCAAATAGACATATTCCTTTCTTTAGCAAAAGCAGAAGTTCTAAGAGAAACTCAACAGGTCTGGCAGCATCTGTGGAGCTAAAGTAGAGTCAATTTTCAAGTCCAGTGATCCTTCTTCAGAATAGTTCTGGACCTGAAAAGATAACTCTTTTTGCTCCACAGATGCTGCCAGACCTGCTGTTTTTATTTCTGTCTCTGATTTCCGCAGTTCTTTCTTTTTTTGTTTAACATTCTTTTCTTTGTAGCACACCCCAACAACTCCAACAGCTTTGAACATTCCCATGTTCCCACCGAACCTGTCTATCTAACTCTTCATCTCCTGACTTAACCTCTTCCAGTCCCGGGTATATTGAGTCAACATGCCAGTCCACTGTCTCTCCCATCGAAGCCAAGGTCTTGCTAACTGTTGCTGCTACCCCACCCCTGCTTTAATCACCCGTTTCTTTTCTATGCTGTTTTGTCTCCCCTCCCCAGTATATATTGAGTAGACCTCTTTATAATTACTATCTCCTCTGAATCCCAATATGTTGCCTCCAATCCCTACAATTGGTTTTCTTCCTGCAACAATAACATCCCCGAACTCATTCAGTCCCACAACCTTTTGTGAACAGAGCCCCAGGATTGACCACGATGCACCTCCTTGACAGAACTGGAATAACATACTGACTGCTGTGTGACCAGGCCCAGGAAAGATCCTTGTGCAACTCCCCAGCTGACATTCTGTGACACACCAGACTTGTTCCTCAAAGGCTGATGTGGCCCATTTCCCTAGACACTGACCATGCCCCTGGACTGAAATCAGATTCTGCCCTTGACTTACTGTGCTGGGACCTGCTGACTGAAGGATGGCACCCCGGACTAATCCATTTTGATTTTGATACATGAACATTTGCTTGCAGCACACGCAGTGTGTTTGCTACATAGGTGAGAATTACGTAGCACACTGCATACAGCAAGATATCTGCTCTGTTGATGTATTACTGCTGGCAAGCATGACAAGCTGCCTGACTGTTAAATAGCAAAGCAAGACAGAAGTTAGTAAACCTGTATGCTTTGGCTAAAGGAAAAGGCACAAAAATGCAAGGTAAGGCAAGCCAGAGATGCTGTGAACATCAAGGAGACACAACACGAGTTAGCACGAAGAGAGCAAGCGAGGATCCCTGAGACGTATCCAGGTCCAAGCCATGAACTTGGTGCTTATCCCTGCACACAAAGTGTCTGGGCAGCAAAATTGCAATGAAAAGTGTCGGCGCACTCCAATGTGCGGCATTGAAGTGAGTGTTGTAAGTAGATAGGAGATCTATAGTGAGGGTAGGAGTTATATCATGGGGATAAGAGATGTATCATGGGGATAGGAAATATATTGTGAGGAGTGGAGACATATCATCAGGGTGACGTGAGTTGAGGCTGATACAAGGTGAATGCCAAGATCAGGGTACCTGTTGTCCAAGATGGAGGACTGGATGAGGGCCTGGTAAACTGCAGTTGACTGGTAACCGCTCAGACTTTGGTGTCATCAATTATCACCTTCTAACTTCTATCTGACAGCTGGGAGAATGGAAAACTGCATATTAATGATGTGAGATTAACTAATAATGAGATGTTAACACATGTACATAGGTGTCACAGCACACTGGTGAGAATCTTGTCTCACTTTCAACAATATGTTGGAAAACGGGATTTTTTGCCCACGATGTCAAGAAGCTCCTCACTGGTATCTCACACAACTTTTCCTATTTTTTCATCAATTCCCATGTCACTCAGGGACTGGGAATATTCCACTCATTAAGTCTACAGTTTGGGAAGTAATCTATAGGACATGGCGCGCTGTTGGGCAGGGAGTCATCAGCCATGTTACCTTTGTAGCCACAGTGATCACAATCCAGTCTGTTTTAGCTTGCCTGTTTTTCCTCTTTGAAAGCTCATGTTTGAAATTCCCTTCACATCTGTAGGTGCGACATTCGGTGAGTGTCTTTCTCTCCAACCACAGATTTACATCCACAGCTGTTTGTGGCTGCCTTTTAAACAACTCATTTTGCACTTAACTATGATAAATATCCACACTACTTTGGTAGTTATATCAATAGTTAATCGTTGGGCCAGTGCAGAAATGATGGTCTAAATGAGTCCCTAATATGCAGTAGATTCTATAAGAAATCCAATGGGATGAAACACATGTAACTAAATGAGTATTGCATGTTTTTCACCAAGTGATAAAAATTAAAATTATCCCCCTCAATCCTGTTCCCCACTGGATTGCCGTTAGCAATTAGAATACAAAACATGGATCTCAGCACTCAGCCCTGTTAAAAAATCCTAATTTTAAAAATGTTCTGAAATGATATTTGCCGAGTTAGTTGTCTGCCTACCTACGGTAGAAGGCGACTGATTTTCACAGGCAGGTTAGCAAACAGGAAGGTGGGAGATTGCACAGCAGCCTGCTGAGACTAAGTTTCTGGTAAGTAGAGCTTTGTGGGCAGTTTTGTTCATTAGCTTTCAATATTTCCATATGCAACCCAATAAAGCACTACTCCTTTTCCAGGTTAAAAAGAAATACTCAGCTGTTTGGACATCTTGGAGCCCCAACTCGACTTCCCACTGTCTTCACCTGGCAGGGAAGTTTATATTGCTGCCTTGCAGTTTGCAACCACAAGATTTCAGCTCACAATTCCACTGGGCATTAAAAACCAAAAGAACTGCAGATGCTGTAAATCAGGAACAAA